CCTGCATGCCATCATGCCTTCTGCCATGGCAATAGTAGAGTAAACCTCTGAGCTGCAAGCCAGCCCCAGTTAAATGCTTTCCTTTATAAGAGCTGCCACGGTCATGGAGCCTCTTCAGAGCAATAGGAACCCGAACTAAGACGCTCTGATAAAATATCATGACCAAAGTGATTTACGGAAGAGGGAGTTTACTTTGGCTTATGGTGTCAGGGTTAGGGAGTTGGTTCCGTAATGACTAGGAAGTTACAGAAGCAGAAAGCTGAGGGATCACACCCGGTCACACAGGAAGCCATGAGAGGGACTTGGAAGCAGGGCATGTTGACGAGGCTTCAGAGTCCACCCCCAGTCAGGGATGTTCTTGTTGTAGTCAGGTTCCACCCCGCCCCAGAGGTTCCACACTCCTCCCAAATAGTATCACCAACCAGGATCCAAGTGTTCAAATAGATGGGCCAACTACCACAGCAGATTCTAGGCCATCCACTTCAGCCTCGTTTCATGTCTAAGGAAACCCGAGGCCTCAGTCAAGCAGCTGTGACCCTACTGGCCCAAGGTCATGTGATACGGGCAGGAGCTGGATCTCCATTCTTGAACTTGGCGGCTAGTCACCAGGGCACCATATTTGCATAGAACTCTTTATCATCCCATTGTAGTGACCAGTCCCCCATTTTAGCAGCCATGACAGGCAAACATGTGCTTGCATGACCTTGCCGATCCTGTCCTGGTCACTGAGGTCAGACGCCCTCCTTGTGGCAAGGAACCAATCAGAAGTTAGATGGCGAGGCTGTGCTTTATGGCTCTGGGTGTGCTTTACGGACAGTGCACAATAGTGACCTGCAGAACATAGCAACCGCCCTGGGAGGGCCTATGGGCCATAACAACCAGTTGACCAATCAACACAGGGCAGGTCACCCAAACCTGGAATCGCACCAATCCTGAGACTGTTTCATACCCCTAGACACTCCCCTTACGCTGCCCTTTAAGGTCCCTGCCTCGAGGTTGCTCGGGGTCTTTCTCCAGCCATTCGCCATGGTGGCGGGGTGAAGGGCCCGAGCTAATGTAGCTTGTTAAACACCTACAATAAAAGACTCTTTTGCTTTTGCATCGAAATGGGCCTCTTGGTGATTTTGGCGTTCAGAATTTGGGCACAACACCATCATTGACAGCCAGACAACTTACAAGGAGAGCTAGATCAAGTAATAGTGATAATTGATTTTACCTGTGTTACTGTACTGTACCAGTCTGCGTATCAACACAAAATCAACAAGAGGAAATTGTCTCAACCTCTTAGAGAAATAACTATTTTTGGTCTTGGGAGGGGGGATCACATTATTAAAGCACATGTGACGTGACAGGCCTGTTAAAGATAGAGTTGTTGTCGTATTGAGTGAATTGCCCAAATGTAATCATCAGAAGAGCCAGGACAAATCTTCTTGCACTCTAGATAATTCCATTTTAGAGATACAAATAGAGTCTTGGGTCCGCTTTGCATAACCCCTGTCACCAAATCTCATTGATAGATGTACAATGTGTTTCACATCAGCTTCCTCCGCACATTATGCAAGTTGATAGGAATTATGCATTATGCAATTTTTACGGAGGAGTTTGTGGTTACCATGTGTTATTGGGAACCGCTGCGCAGGCTGCAGACAAATTGCATCTGAGACAGACTGAAGAGTAATGGGGAGCTTGGCACAGCGTTAGTTTGTCTGGAAGGACACAACAACCCCCCCTTCCAACCTGACTTCTTAGCTGTTGCTAATAGCTCAACAGTCACGCTGGGGGAGAAGACTGAGGACTCCCCTAAGGGAGTGCATCCATCTGTCAATGACAGCCGTCAGAAATTGGGGTGAGTGGACTGTTGGAGAGAGGGACCAGGGAAGACACATACAAAGCCTCTGGCTCTAGCTTTCTGATACCTGCATCCTTTGTATGGTGGTGTCTGTGTGACTGGCATTTGAGGGAGAAGACCCTCCCCATAGTGATGCTAACCTTCATCCAAGCTTGACCTATTTCCAGGAGAGATAGATAGATAGAGAGAGAGAGAGAGAGAGAGAGAGAGAGAGAGAGAGAGAGAGAGAGAGCAGCCCCTGTTGGTCCAATAGGGGCTGTGGGGAGGGACTGAGGCATCCAGCAGGGCAATCCTCAGATGGTACCTCCCGCCACCCTGGAGCTCACCAGTGACCCCTCTGTGATGGTGTGAGAAGACCCACTCCAGACCTCAGCTGGAACAGACTTCCCCCTCATGAGCATTTGCAGCAGGGGGGATAGCTACCCTTCCCATATTTAACACATGCCCTCATAGAGCTGCTGGGCCATAAAGCAAGCTCAAAGACATTCAGGCAAGGACAATAAAGACCAGACCTTCCAAAATGATAACCGGGGGATTTTTATAACTCATAACGCAGTGCCTGCTATATTAAAAGTGGGAGGCTTTTTGAACTGCGACTTTTACATACCAATTCAATAGCTCTTCCAGCTTTGAAATACCCCCAATTTGAATTTTATGGGGATTATTTTTATGATGGGCAAAACAATTAAATCTCCATATTGAAGGACGTAAACCTTTTAAGGCCCTTCTTAGGCTATCAAAAGGAAAAGACACTTATATTTAACAGGTGTGACAACGCAGTGCAAGACACTCCGCTGAAAAGGAACTTGATATTACCCAGTGACAAATGCCTAAATTAATCCAAAACATCTTTTGGATGAAAGGGATTTTAAAAAGAGTTAGACGGACCACAAAACTTTATATATAGGAAGACGATCAGCCCTTGGATGAGATACTTAAGAATATTAATTCTGTTGGGATGTGTCGAGCAACTTTCCTCAAAGTCATCCTTTTAAGTGATGTTTTAACTTAATTAGAGTGACTTTTGTCTTTGTCCTCAGTCTGTGTGAAGAGTGAGCCCATCTGCACCCATCTTTGTGTTCTGCCGACCTCACAAATTAACTTACGAATTCACCCCATCCCAACTGATTTCCTCCTATTTGGCCTCAGCCATCCATCACCCCGACAGTGCTGAGGCCATGGCAGGGATTAGATGAGCAGACAGAAAGGACTTTCTAATTATGACTACAAGATGAGCCTCGGGGAGGAGGGGATGCAGTCAGCTCTGTGCAAGGCTGGGGTTTGGGGTTGTAAGAGCCTTCAAAGTTAAGGCTCCCGCATAGTGAAAAGGCTCAGCATAAGTGTTTTCCTTCCTTCCTTCCTTCCTTCCTTCCTTCCTTCCTTCCTTCCTTCCTTCCTTCCTTTCTTCCCTTCCTTCCTCTTTCCTTTTCCTTCCTTCTTTCCTTCCCCTTCCTTCCTTCCTGTCCCTCATCCCCTGTTTGTCTTTTGTTCTTTCCATTTAAGGGATCCCTCTCTGGGTACAGGATCTTTTAGAGAATGGGGAAACCTCACAAATGAACCTGTGTCAAATTGTGTTTTGTAGCTTGGGTTGGTGAAATTATGTCTTTTCCTCTGTGAAATGATGGTTCTTTGTTATTATTATTTTTAAACCATGTCCATTGATTAATGAGTACTCATAATGCACTCCTCTGTATATATATATATATATATATATATATATATATATATCATTGTTATCATCTGGGCTGTTGAGGATTGAGAAATATTCCAGGGCAGCAATGGGTTAAAAAAATAGAGGCTCCTATTCCCTGGGCTCCCTAGCTCTCCAGATGGGTTCACAATCTGTTGACTTCAATGTACTCCCCTAAATGTTAAGGGGTTCCTGTGGCAAGTTTTATAAATCAGCAATCAAGAGAATAAAATTGAGTCAGAGGACTTCAATCCAGAATAATTGGATGACAGAAATAAAGAGCCCAAGTGTACTTTTGATAATTAAGGGGAGAGGAGAGGCAAGTCTAGTAGTTTTAAGACTTCATGAATGACGACATTGTAAATCATGTGTAATTGGGACTGGGGTTGTAGCTCAGTTTTCGGAGGGCTTGGCCTCCACTCACTAAATCCTGGGTTAGGTCCCCAGTACTGTCTAAATGGGTAAAGTGATGCATGCTGTTAATCCTAGCACTCAGGGGGTAGAAAGAGGAAGTCCAGAGTCATCTCAGTAACATAGTAAGTTTGAGGCCATCCTGGGTTACATGATAGATATCCTGTTTCAAACAAACAAACAAACAAACAAACAAACAAATACATTGTTACCAGTGAACACACAGTGCTTAGAGACTACTTTGACAGTGTAGGGAAAGACCCCTGTCACTAACTTTTGACTGTGCATTCTGACCCTTAACCCACAGTCATACAAAACAGAGAACGATGCAAGCATGTTAGAAACTTCATTTTCAATACTTATTTTTTTTATTGCTCTCTCCCTCCTTGTCCACCCAAGGAGAGACATGGGCTTGTGCCAGAACCACCAGGATGCACTGCCTGGTCTAGAAATTACAAAGAAGTGCCCTAGCAAGTTTACAAATGTGGGCAGTGGACAGTCTTACAGGGAAACATTTTGTTGTCTAGCTAGATCAATGAGCCCATTTTGGCATCTGTAGGGCTAAAGGTCACGTTGAAACCCATAGGTTTTGGAACAGACAGTTTCTGCACTCAACCACTTGGACTCATTTTTGTTTTTTCCCCCTTAGCAAATGCAAACAGAGAACTGATGGTTTTATTTTATTTCATTATTATTTCTTTAAGCTTGCAGAGTACCTGAAGAGGAGCATGCTGCTGCTGCCCACAGACAACCCTAAGCCTGACCCAGACTTGGGGGTCTCTGGGTGTTTTTTCTTTCCTCTCGCTCTCTTTCTCCTCTCTTTTTTCTATTATTTTGGCAGACTTTTTGGAATGTCTGGGAGCTAAGAGCTTTGCTTCATGGAGCAGAATTCTGAAGCAAGAAAAAGAGAAAGTTATAGACTAAACCACAGAAAAGTAAACAGTCTGCAGTTAAAATAACTCCGCTTTCATTGAAAACACCCCTCCGTCACAATCGGACTTCTGTGTGCTAAGCTCAGTAAGACGGCATGTTAATAGCGCCCAATTAATAGATTATGTTGCGTAGCTTAAAAGTTGAAGGAGTTTTAATTACTATTTTTCAAATTAAAAGAGTGTGCTTATTCGCCTCCTTCCCTGGGGCGTGTGTGTTGGGGGAAGACGACGACTTAGCTTTCTTTCTGGCTGTTTGCTGAAATTCTTGGCCGTTAAAGTGAGTTGAGGGAGGGAGATGGGTATTTTTCACTCTGTCGGGATGGGGAGAACATGCTGGCGGGCGCTGGGGGATCGGTTCCCAGAGACCTCGAAGAGACAGTGGTCTTGAAGGTTGTGACGTCCACGGGACAGGAGGACGGAGCAGAAGCATCTGGTAAGTGGGACTCTGGGACTTTGATGTCCGAATTCATTTCTGACCTAGATAATCTGAGGAGCGGTGGCCAGGCTCTGCTGTCACCAAGCTTCTGTCCCTCCCAGCATCCTTGCATCGGGTTCCTCCTGCTACTGATTCCAGTTGCAGGTAGTTCCTGGGTTTTTAAAGGTGGCCTCAGCACCCACCCCTTTCTCTTGGTGAAAAGCGGACAGGCCTTTCAGTCAGCATTCAAGGCAGCCCTAAGGTTGTTTTAAACTTCTGCAGCCGCACGCAGCACTCGAACTTTTATGTTGTAACCAGACCGGGTGAAAAATACAATACTACTTAAAAGCAGTCAGGACTTTTGAGGAGCCAGCACCTCCGTGGCGCCACCTCCTACCAGAGTCCCGCCGGTCCCCATTGCCTTCCCCCTCTTTTCTCTGCACAGCTTGGATCCCGGAATTGCGGAATTGGAACTGCGTCTGGGTTCCTTTGGGTTGGGCTGGCTCAGTGCTCCTAGCTCCCTCCGGGTGGGTGCTCCATAGGATGGTTGGTGCTCTACCCTTCCTCCTCTTGCTCTTCCCCACCACTCAGCCCACTGCCTGCCGACCCTGCCAGGGGCGCACCATCCAAACCTCCCCACGCTGGACACGAGCCCCCTGGCGTTCACGGACACGAGTGCACACAGTCCCGCAGCCGCGTAGAGGATTTCCCTTCACACTGGGGCCGGCGCGCGCGCGCGCGCACACACACACACACACTCACATGCCCCCACGCACTTGCACCTGGTCCCCCCGCATCCCGCGCACCCGCCCCGCCCCGCCCCCTGGCGCACTCCCGGCGGGGCCTCTGGCCGGCCCTGCTCAGCGATTGGCGGGAGCCGGAGCCTCCCCAGGCCCGCGCGGCTCCATGAACTGAGCCAGTTAGCACCCTGCCAGTCAGTGCCGCCCGGCCCAGCATGTGCGTGGGTACACACGGGCGCGGACACGCGCGGGCACTCACGAGCTGGACCCGGCCTCCCCCGACCACAGCACTGGACTCTGGGTAAGTCCTCCGTGTCCCGTGGTGGCAGGGGCCTGCGGGACCACAGTGGCTGTGGGCTTGTTAGTTCCAGCAACAGTGTTGGGACAGGGGCATGGTCACGCGGGGAGGGCAGCCTGTCAGTCACTGCTGGTGGGAGGCTCTGGAGGTGACACCTAAGTGCACTGCTCTCCTTCAGCTCCGGACCAGGTTAAAGCTGTGTGCCCTCATTCCATCTTCCCCTCCACGGGAGTTTATGCTTCCTGGTTGCCGCCTTCTTTGGAAAACTGGGCATGTTTACAGATGTAGCTGTAGTTTCTTTTTAATCAGTGAGCCTTGTTCTTTTCAGTCTGAAATCCTAATTATCGCTTTTACTCAGTGGACAGATGCCTGTGTATGTTTTTGTTTTTTGAGGATAAGGCTTACGTGCTATTATTGGGGGCTTAACAGCAGACTAAACTTCCAGAAAGACGCGAGATTTTAATGTGGGTGTAAGGATGATTTCGTTTATTCTCAAGACCAGATTGTCATAGGAGCCAAGATTTCACTTTGCGCGCGTCTGTAACTTTGAAGTGTGGGGAAACTTCCATGCGTTGTTGTTGTTTTTCCCTGGGCTGGGCAACATACCAGGACCGAGTTGAGCGGCCACTGAAGCCTTTTCAAGCATCTTTCATTCTCTACAAGGAGTCGAGCCTCTGGACCAAAAGCTGTCACATTCCTAGCTCATAACTCTTGCTCTGCTGGTATTAAGTTCAGGAGCCCTGCGCTCTCCCAGGACTGTCAGGACACAGGCGTTAAATAAAATCCCATCCAAAGACCTGAAATAAGTGGTGTCAAACAGTGAGCTACTCATATCGAAACGATGATTTTTTTTGTGGGACACAGCCTGTGCTGTATCAATTTGTGGCTAACACGCAAAGTTTTAAAATTCTCCAGTAAAGCTTTATGAGCTAAAGGCACATCACAAATGCTCTTTGAGGTTTGGAAATTCCAGTCCGATTTGTGTCCCCGACTTTAGAGAATTGTCGCGGAACTAGAAAGTGAGAGTTCCAAGTTTGGAGAGATTTGTTAGTGCATATAAAAATTCCAGTGTCCCCGAAAACACCAATCTTGTAGCTTTATGCTTAATGCTGTTTTGATATAAAAAATCCAGGTGAATCTGGACCCATTTCATGTTTACCTGTTGTTTGATCACAAGCTCTAGGTGACTTATCTAACCAGTCCACTAGGATTTTGAAAACCATCCTTTGTCATCAGTTGCCTGGCACGACAGAGCTGCATGCACACCTACGTGTGAACATCCTTCCCCCTCCCTCGAAGGTTTTTTGTGATATTAAATAAAAAAACAGCCTTGTTGAGTTTTTCATCGTAAAAAAAAATCAGATGTTTTATGTATGGTAAGGATCCCAGGAGCATAGCAGATTTGTATCTAAGAAGTAAGTTGTCTCAGAAATATGTCCAAAATGGTTTTAACTTAACCTGTTAAAGTCCTGCATGCTGTGTGTTTATTAAATATGTCTCACGATCAGAAGTGGACTTTTCCTTTTCGAAAAGTAATATTAGCTCTGATTTTTCTTACTAGCTTAGCAAAACAAAATCAAACCAAAGGGAGCTTTTATTTCAAGATACACAGGAGTTAATGTTTCAAAAAACCCTTTATTATTCCCCGGTGACAAAAGTTTGCAGGTTTGCACTGGTCATGGGAGCCCGGGGTTATGGGAAGACGTTGTCAGGTTGAATCAGTGTCATGGTGCCTGCTCTGTCACAGGGCTCCATTCAGGAGGTGTTGACAGAGGGACACCAACCTCTTGCTGGGGGGGACGGGTGGTTGAGGGACCTTAAAGACAGAGCCCCTGCTTTGTGACACTGAGCTCTCTGCTGTTAGGTAGGCTGTGTTTCTGAGTGCGGGTATTTTGTTCCCTCCCGTTCCTCCTCATATTTTCTCTCTGAGATGCAGGGTTCCAAGTGTAGCAGAACTCTTGGGGTTGTTGCTGCTTTTCCCTACACATGTAGTCCTGTGGACTTTCCCGAGAAGAAGTGCCTTCGAGACAGAGTGACGCTCTTCACCTTGAATCTGTAGAGCCATTAAGTTCAGGATCAGTATTCCTAGGAGACATAAGCTGGTGTGCTGGCTCGCCATTTAAGTAGACAGGTGACGGAATTACTCTGTGGTGACCTGGTGAGTGGTGTTTGGAGGTCTGTCGATATAGGAATGGGTCACTCACACAGAATGTACCAGCCTTACTTACTTGCTAGATGATCTCCTCATCAGTGTTCCCAACGCCCGTATTCATGGTCAGGTTATTAGTTGTTAACTATACAACGTCCCCGTTGGACTTCTCCAGTTGGCTACTTCAAGGGAGTTATTGTAGGTCTACTTACTCTCATCTGAACTAGTTTTGCAAAAATATCCAGGGTGGGTTCCTCCCTTCAACATTACCCTTTATCTTAGACATTTTAGTGTCACAAAGAGAGAGGATTCAATGGTTCGTATTTGGGAATCTGGGGACCTTAGTGAAAGGCAGGCAGGAGAGCTAAAATTACTTTCCTAAATTTAAGTTCGAGTAAAATGTAGACAACAGCAAGAAATTAGAGGGTGCCTCTAAAAATGGAGCTCTTGGTCTAAGTTTTGGATTTGAACTAACTTTTAAGTTCTTCTGTTTTTGTAGTGGCTGGTCATAGCCAGGAAGGCTCTGATTGTGTACAGGAAACAATCATCTAATGCAGAAAGGACAAAGTATGCTTCAAGGTGTGTGCATGCATGCAGGAAGACCAGTCTTGCTCAACAGGCTGCACATGAGGCACTAGTCTACAAGTGTATGAGACAAGCTGTTTAGATGAAGTTATCTGCCACTTAAAAATTCTGATCCAGAAGAAATAGGCACCAGCTTTGACCTGGGGCTAACTGTTAGCATGTTCAAAGTTTTTTTTTTTTTTTAGATGTAGGTCTGTAGTTGTTTCCTGTAAAATGTAAAGCTTTGTTTTTGAGCTGTCTAACTGAAAACTTGATTTTCATGTACATCCTCATCTCCAATGTGATTCTGTAGGGCCAACCTTTTTCTAGTAATTCTTCCTGCAAAACACACTTTAGAGGGGGGAAAAAAGCACCATTCCACTGCAGGGAAACATGATGGGCAAATCTAGGACGCCTTCTGAAAAACAGGGATCCCTCATTTTCGTCATTGGCAAGGTCTCCCAAGTTCTTGCAGAAAGTGAGGAAGTTTTGTGTGCAGGGAGCAGAGTGGAGAAGTCTTATTCGGTGATGCTGTCATTGTCTTGTTTTCAGTAAGTGATTCTTAGCGATTTGGGTAAGGACTAATTTTTTTTTCCTGACACCAATTGGGAATGCTGGTCTACAGATTTCCGAGGCTCATGAATGGAATTACAGTTGCGAAGTGGAAGGCAGAGGGAGACACGGCAGAGAGCTGCTTTTGTGGGTACTAGAAAGGGGGTCTGTGTGGTTACTTTTCAGGAACGTTCACTAGTGTGTGGCCGTAGCTGCATCTAGGGTGGGAATGTCTGGTTCTGAGTATCTTTCCATGTTAGACAAGATAGACGTTGCTGGCACTCTGTGTTCTTTTGGGCGATAAGAGCAACCTAAGCTCCTAGGAGGTCTGGTCTCTTCATGCTACCTTCATACGATGGGAAAGTAGTCCTGCGTGACACAGGACAGTCTGTTGTGCCCCTCATAATCAGACCACTGGAATTTCAAGAGCTATGGCCACTTTCTATCTCCCAAGCCCAGTTGCTCTTTCCTGTTAATAATCCTCTGGCCAAAAGGGGGGAAAAAGAGATTGTAGAGGAAATGGTGTTTTTCTGGGTCTTCCAAAGGCAGTGGTCCTTCTTGGTGGTGAAGGTGTTTGCCCAGGTTGAGAGCAGGGAGGGAGGGGCCTGGCTCTCTGGTATTGAGCAGAAGTTTCTCCTGGACAGGCAGGTTACAGAACTGCCCGAGGATTGTAAATCCCTCCACCTTTCCCGAGTTACCAGCACGGGCAGAGATT